ACAATTTGTGGAGTGCGGAAGTATCTGGTAATAACTTTCCATTTAAATTCTCTCCATGTGTTTGAGTTAGTTACTTTATGGGCCTCAGAACATATATCTATCCAGTCCTCTTGTGTAATCTCTACCGGCATTTCAGCCTCCCATCGTTCCTTGTATGCAAAATAATTATATGGGTGAAGTGATAACAATCCCTCATATAATTGAGAAATAAGCCTCTTGTCAATCGTCCCCATCTGTATTTTCATCATTAACTTCTCTATTTCGTTTGGATTAATGATATTCTTCCACTCTTTATGTTTTGTAAGAAAATCTCTTATTTGTAAATATCTGTAAAAATCAGTTTTTGGTAACTTAAATTCTTCTACCAGTTGTTCAAATGACTTGAGATGGTCTTTACTAATAAGCTGATATATAAACTTTAGTCCATAATTTGCCCATTTTTTAAAACCAATATCTAGTGCAGATGGTATAAAGTTATTTATTGTACTTAAACTAGATAAAGGAGAAATGGATTGAGTAATTTTCAATGACGATCGTATCTTTTTCCATATTTTTAAAGTAACTCTTGTCCATTTACCCATTATCACATTTCCCCAGCTGAAATCTATGAAAGGGAGTGAAACCAGGGGATACTGACAGAGGCCTTTCTCTATGTTTAACCAACGCGTTTCCATATTATCCTTCAACCATACCTCTATTGGTTTTAGTTGTGCTGCCCAATAATAGCATTTAAGATTTGGAAGACCTACTCCCCCATCAGTTTTCATAAGCTGTAATGTTATATATTTCATTCTTGGCCTTTGCCCTGCCCAAATAAATTTAGAAATCTGCTTCTCCAATTTGACAAATACACTCTTGGGAATTTCTACAGGTAACATTTGAAAAAGGTAGAGGAGTCTGGGTAATATATTCATTCGCATACTTTCAATACTGCCTAAAAACGATAAGGGAGTTTCTGACCATCTTTGTAGGTCGCTATGAATACATCGAATTAGTTTGGGGTAGTTTACTTCATATAAATCCTGTAGTAAAGGAGAAATATGAATCCCTAAATATTTAATACCCTCTTTGGGCCACATGAAACCGCTCTGTTTTATCACCCTTTTAGAAATTTGA